ACAAGAGGCCCTTCCCTTTTGAATCGAAGAAGGCTGTTTCAAAGGAAACACATGCCCAGTCGAAGCTTGTATATAGCAAACAAGCGAAAGGCCAAGGCTTCAATCGAAGCTTGGAAATTTGAAGCAAGCTTGAAGGATGTTAGGTGCTCAATCGAAGCCTGTCAAGATGTCAATCGAAAGACACTTTGTTCATCTTCAAAAATTTTATTTTTCTTTAATCAAGTGCTTGTGACCACCCATATAAGAAAAAACCTTGGAAAATACGATAGGGCAAATTTTGGGGTACAACAGTAGGCACCTAATTTTGTTTTTTTAGACGGTTGAGATTTGCCGACAAACGTTGAATGATCTGCTCTCTGATTCCGACAACAAGAAGGTGACGAAGATCGAGTATCGAAAACATTTCATAGGTACTGATGGTTGGATAAAATATAACCCGATCGAGTTGAATCATCGATAATAGAATTTTAAATAAACGCTTAACATAATGAACACTAGAAAAAAAATACTAAGGTCAATATAAAAAACAATCCGGTGAATATTATGAATTACTTTGTCAGCAAAAAAGTTTTTTGATGCACACATTATGTAACAAAATATTAAGATTAATTAAAATACACTGTCAATTTAAAATTATTTTATACTATTATCCAATTAAAATTAATTATTTTAACATATAAAAAGAGAAAATATGAAAAAATAGTTATTAAAAGAATTTAATTCTAATTGGGTGATAGTGTGAAATTAATTAGTCTGTAAAATATTTAGTCTAAGTTGTTATTACTTGGACATTATTATTAGCTTCTCATAGGTATTTTGAATTATTAGTTATTGAAGATATATAAATATAGTAACTTATATAGGCACTCAATTGCGTGTTTTAAATATGACGCATTTAGTTTGGAATCTTACTGTTATAAGTGAGGTTGAGTATCCATAATACTCCCTTTATATATTACTTATTTTTAGAAGAAAAAAAGCCTCAACAAAATACAATGTATTTTAACTATTAATTTATTAGATTCGTATTTTCTACCCGCATGTATACTATGTCTTCAATCGTGTATACTATTAGATTCATATTTTTGACCGTCAAAAAAACAAAGTTAAGTACCTACCAGAAAAATTAAATACCACACAAAATTAATGTATCAAATTAATATGGAATAAATAATAAAAAATATAAAAAAAGTAAAAAAAATAAAAATACAAATAAAAAAGGAAAAATAAAATTTAAAAAAATTAAAAAATAGTCAAATTTCCACGTGGAATTTTAAAAAAATAAAAATAAAAAAGCCATGTCAAAGGCCACATATGCAGATTCTGCTGGAATCTTGATCCGAAGTCAAATTTGAGAAAATCTTATTTTGTTGAGAGGCTAAATTTTTTTTTTTTAAAAAAAGAGGGTAAATTGAAACTCGCTACTATTATAGAGGGTAAAATGCATTTAACCTTAAAATATTTTATTTTCTTAAATTACAGATAAAAATTAACTCTAATTTTGTTTAATTATTATGTTAAAAAAATTATTTTTTAAAGTAAAATTATATATAAATTGCATTTTAATTTATCTCTCATTTTATAATTAACTATAATAATTTATTACTAATAAAACAAATTAAATAATTTTTTAATTTTTTTTTCTATTTTGTTTTTACACACACACAATATTGTTAGGCACATTTTTATTAAAAAAATCAATAAAATGAACAAAAATGAATTTCTCATCAACAATGTTATGTATAATCCAAAATATTATTTTTTAATTTAAATTTCATTCAATAACAGTTAAATATGCTTTTGATCTTCTAAATATAATAACTTTAATTTTTTATCCCTTTAAATTTGTTTAAAAATATTGGTATTCACCCAATTTTAGTATCTATTTTTATTTGTCAATTTAAGATTTTTATTTTTATTAATATTCTTGATGACATCAATCAATTATAGAAAATAAATTTTGACCAAATCATAATTTATCATTTTTAAAACAAAGTTAAAATAATTAATTTTGATCAAATCATAATTTATCATTTTTAAAACACAAAATTAAAACAATTATTTTATTTACATTTTTCCTATAAATGATTCAATATAAATATTGGAATTTTTAAACTAAAATTTAAAATTCGATGTATTCATGAAGTTTTGATAGCTCACTAGAAAAATTATATTTATTTGAAGTTTTAATAAATTTTGTTTTGTCTTAATGTATAAATTGTATGAAATGGAAAAATAAAATTACTGATCAAAATATTGAATAATAGAAATCTATCGACTATTTTTTTAAGTATTTAAAAAAATTGTTTTATTATATATAAATTGCATTTAATATGTTTTTATCATGTATTAAATATTTATGAAAAAGATAGATAATTCCACTCATTCACTAAAATATTAATATTAATATTTATTGTTGATTCAAATATTTTTATATACAGTAGAAACTCTTTAAATTAATACTCGGTAAATTAATAAACTCTCTAAAATAATAAATTTGTCCGGTCTCGACTTGGGCCAATGTAAAAAATTGGAAAATTCGATAAAATAATAAGATAATAATTTTTCGGGAGATACCTTTATAATTTTCGGTCCCAAAAAAATCATAAATTAATAATTCGTAGAAACTGAAAAAGAAATATATTACACTCTATTGAAATATGATTCAATAGTTGTCTGTTTTACTTTAAAGTTTAAGTCTATTTGGAGCTCATCTCTAACTTTTTTTATTACATCCAATAACTCAGATGTTGTATTTTTGTATCGTATCGTAAAGTTGTGAAGAGTGTTCGACGCCATAAGTGCTTCCTTTCGCGTAACATGCTCAAAAGGCACCGTATCATCTTCGCCGTCATCCTCTGCATTATTCTCAATGATAGTACCCACAATATCTTCTAAACTCTGAACCTCCGAACATGCTTCATTTTCACGTGGGTAGTTCATTAGATTGTCAATATCCATCTTATTACGATAGCCACATTGATTGATCATAGTCTCGAGCTCTTGAGTTTCTTCATCAAAAATGGATTCATTCAAATTTCTTGCAACATCACTAGCTGGTCAAATTTTACAGTGTCAAAAGCAATTCATTATTGTTTCTTTTCGAACATCTATCGTTTAAGCTGGGATTGCCAAATTGATAGTATCAAAGACATTTATCTTCTCTGGATAAGATTGTCCCACCTCATAATCTTCCAATATTTTGCGGTAAAACCTTCTACGGTAATGCATCTTGAAAGCTCTTATTATCCCAACATTGCAAGGTTGAATCTTTGATGTCATGTTGGGTGGCAAGAAGAACAACTCAACGTTTCTTAACCCTTCAATATTTCTTGAATGTACTGCACAATTATCCACCACAAGTAGAACTCTTCTACCATGCACCATTTAGTCAAATAAATGAACATATTCATAAAAAAGCACACTAATCATCTATGCTTTTTTGTTAGCTCGATACTGACAATCCAAGCTATTCATGTTCACATTCTTGAAGCAACGAGACTTTGCATATTTCCCAATAATTCATAGAGAGATTTTTTCAGAGCCATCTTCATTGCAACAAATAACTACCGCCAACCTTTCTTTATCTTGTTTTCTTCCTGTTGCCAGTGAATGATCAACTTGTAGCCTATAAAACAACCTAGTCTCATCCATATTGAAAACATCTTTCATAGGGAACTGATCAATTTTCTCCCAAATCGATACCAATTTTTGCTCCATGTCTTGTACACCAACATACTGACTCTCGCCAAAATGACGAAATGACTTTATGCCATGTCGCTGCTTGAATTTCCCAAGCCATCCTATAGAGAAGTTAAAATCTGAATCATCATGAGGGTACACGAGTTTCACTGTATCTCTTGCCTTCTGCAAAATTAATTCTTCTGTGATATTCACACGTTCTTGATGCTGGAGAAACCACTCATAAATAACCTTCTCCAGGATATTTTGCTGGTTTATGTCTTTTGATCTATGCTCTTCCCTTTTTTATTTCAGCAGAGAGATAGTCATCTGACCGCTTAAGTGTGTTTGATATTGTTCCTTGACTAACTTTCAACTGAAATTTTCCCTCAAGCCATCTCTGCAAGTCTTTTTGTGTGCTTGCAGGATTATCTCTCTTGTACTCATACAACTCCTTACGTATTTGATCTGACATAGTTGATTTTATAACACCTTTTAGATGAGAAGTCATCTTGTGAGATATGGCTTGAATACTCTAACACATACATATAATTTATATATGTCAAACTTACTTAAGAATACATTGAACACATTTGTTCCTCTTGTTTACATTTATTGTACCTCAAAAGTCATTATTGATTTCCAATGCATATGAACACAATAGTTACTAATTTACGTTGAGTATCAAAGTTCGCTGCAACGTAATTCTAAGAAACATAGACTAATTTGCCTTTTTGTTTGGTATGTACAGTATAATTACTTAAAAACTCTTTAAATTAATAATTATTAATTTATCGATAAATTAATAACTCTCTAAATTAATTAATTTCTCCTGACATTATTAATTTAAAGAGTTTCTACTATAAATAAAAAATGTATTATTGATTCAAATATTTTTATAATCAAAAACAAATTTACTATAATAAAATAAATAATACTAAATAAAAATAATATTTTTATATAAAAAAACTATTGTTAATTCAAATATATTTATATAAAAAAATAATAGACACTAATTTATTATTTCATTTAAAAATAATAATTTTTTTAATTAAAGAATTTGATCTTTTATTTATTTAATTAAATTTTAAAAATAAACATGTTTACCAAACCAGAGCACGGGTTATTTATTGTTAAATTGATATTAGAAGAAAAAAAATTATTTATATTTGTTTAATATTACAAAATTTAGAAAATGGAGAAATGGGAAGGAGTTGCTTAAGCAATTAGCATGTGTTGTCGAAAACAACAAGATCCAGTATTATATTGAGGATTGAAGAAGAGAAAATGGTTGATTTGAAGCAGTAATTGTATCGTAAATGGGTTGGGGAAGAGGAATATTCGAAGGTTCGGTAGTGGTGGGATGTCTGTGTTCACTTGGCTGGGCGGGTCTATGGTTTTTGAACCGTCGTCTCTACAAAGAGTACGAAGAGAAACGAGTTCTCGTTCAAATCATCTTCAGCGTCGTCTTTGCATTCTCTTGCAATCTTCTTCAACTTGTCATCTTCGAAATCATTCCCATCCTCTCCAAAGAGTCAGTGAATTAACCTAACCTAAGTTTTCGTTTTTACTTTCTGGATTTCATTCAATATTATCTTATTTTTTTTATGTAGGGCAAGAGTGGTCAACTGGAAGATTGACTTATTCTGTTTGATTCTATTGTTGGTCTTTCTTCTGCCTTATTACCATTGTTACTTGATGCTTAAAAACAGTGGTTTGAGAACTGAAAGGGCTGCTCTTGGAGCTCTTTTATTTTTGTTTGCTTTTCTTTATGCTTTTTGGCGTATGGGAATTCACTTTCCAATGCCATCCCCTGAGAATGGATTCTTCACTATGCCTCAACTCGTTAGTAGAATTGGAGTCATTGGTGTTACTGTCATGTCTGTTCTATCTGGTTTTGGTGCTGTAAACTTGCCATACAGTTATCTATCACTTTTCATCAGAGAGATTGAAGAAACTGAGATCAAGGCCTTGGAAAGACAATTAATGCAGTCAATTGAGACTGCTATATCAAAGAAAAAGAAAATTATTCTTGGTCAAATCGAGATGGACAGCAACCAAGGATCTCAGGAGGTTCTTTTACCTTTTTATCTTTTGCCACTCCTTGTTTTTCATTCATCCACTTTCTTATATGTTTTTATCTTATCTTGTTTGCCACAGAGGTTAACTGCCAGATCATTTATCAAACGTATTGTTGGTACAGTTGTTCGATCTGTGCAAGAAGACCAAAAAGAGCAAGGTTGGTTTGCTTTAATTCTTGACAACCCCATTTAAAGCTTCTGCTTTAGAGATCTAATGTTTGGTAACTATAGTATTGCATGATCAATTTATAAAGCAAATAAAATCTGTGTACTCGAGACATATAGATTGAAAAACATCTGTTTTTATTTTTATTTTTAATTATTACTAAATGATTTGCAAGTATGTTGTGGTTTATGTGGTTGGTTGGAGGTTAATGTTTGAGTTTTCAAGGATAATCAGCTACCAACTATTTTACCACTTATTTGAGAAAGGTTTTTTTTGATAGTATTAACTAGTAATTGAGCGGGAAGAAAGGGGCACTCACACCAAAACAGAAGAAGGAATGCCTTATTGATGGGTCATGGTCAATGGTTACACAGAGACTTAGAAAACATACTCTTCCAAGACTGAGCAACTTTCCAACCATCTACTGATTCTGCCTCAAATCCTTCCCCTCCCTTTACTAACTGACGGACAAAAAATCAACTAACTAAAGGGATATCTATAATTTTTGTAGCTTCCCTAGATCCCACTACAACAGGAGCTCTAAAGCTACAATGACTTTGATGTGGGAAGTCTTTAGAAGTTACTGTTTGATTCGTGGAATCAACGTCTTGTAAATCTAAGATAAGATTGTCTACAATAGACCCATGACCCACAAATTGGTCTGACCTTTCTCTGGAGCCCCCGACCACGACTGGAGCTTCATAGCTTAGGGTTTCCATTTTTGTTATTAGATATTCAGAGAGATTGGATTCATTGCTCCATTCATCAGTGTTTCCTTTTTATCAAAATGGGGCCGTCCTTCTTAATTCATGCAAATAAATATTACCGTGTTTGAATATGATTGGGGTTTGGATGTAAAGTTTGCTCAACTTAGGGGTTTAGGTGATTTTTTTGAATGCTTGTCATGAAGATACATTTAATAATGGTACATCTGATTGTATATTTTTATTTTTCTTTAATTATTGTTATAAAATTGTCAAATACAAATTTTAAAATTTTCTTTTGTCAAATGTGAAGATATCAAAGGCATGGAAGCAGAGGTACTGGCTTTAGAAGAGCTTTCAAAGCAATTGTTCTTGGAGATCTATGAGCTTCGTCAAGCAAAAGTTTGGCTCATTTCCCTGACCCAATTTCTTTTGGAATTTGCATATAGATATATTGAATTTGTTGACATTTTGCTTCGTAGTAGTCAATACTCACATCGTAAACTGCTTCTCGATATATTTAATTTCAGATTTAAAATAGTGATACACTATGCTTTGATAACACCTAAAATCCCAAAAGGCTTCTCTAAAAGAGCTTTTTATAGATATTAATTAAATCATTATGCCCCCTTTTAAAAGTGTTTGGACTCTTGTTTAGATATATATATATAGGTTTAAATATATTTTTAGTCCCTGCAAATATACAGTTTTTTGCTTTCAGTCCATGTAAAATTAATATCTTGTTTTTAGTCATTGAAAATATTTCACTCTTTGCTTTTGGTTCTCGGTGTTTTATCATAGTCCCTCCATAATTTATTTAGAATATGCGCTACGTAAGGACTAGAATGAATATTACATGAACCAATTCCAGTGTGGACAAATTTTGCTAAGACTAAAACAAAACACCATGGTCCAAAAGCAAAAAGTGGTATACTTGCAAGGGTTAAAAAAATATTTTGTTGGAATTTCCTAGTCGCCTTAATTGAGACATTTGGCTTGCCTTAATTGCAGCCCCCAGCACCTTCATTGTGTTGAGTTTGAAGGGGGTGAATTTAGTCCCACATTGCTTAGAGATATGATCTGTGTTGTGTTTATAAGTGGGGGCAATCCTCACCCTACAAGTCGGTTTTGTAGGGTTGAGTTAGGCCGAACCCAAATTCTGAGATGGTATCAGAGCCTATCCTAGATAACTTGTTGGGCTTCCCGCATCGTCCATGCTTGGGCTTTTTGAGGTCCAAGCGCGAGGGGGTTGGAATTTCCGCCTTAATTGCAGTGCCCCCCTAGTTGCCTTAATTGCGGCATTTGACTTGCCTTGTGAATTTAGTCCCACATTGCTTAGAGATATGACCTGTGTTGTGTTTATAAGTGACGACAATCCTCACCTTACAAGCCGGTTTTGTAGGGTTAAGTTAGGCCCAACTCAAATTCTGAGATATTTAATCCTTCTATTAGAGTAGAGCTAAGAATAAAGTATTAATACTATAATAGCCTTGTAAATGACTGACTTGTGTCAAGTCTAGAGCAGTAGCTGACCTGCTATAGCAGGTCACACAAGTTGCTACTATAAATGCAACTGTGTATCACCTCTTGTAACTAACTTCTACAATAACAAAATTCTGTTATAACGGAAATGGAAAGTTCATCTTTGATTTTTATCATGGTATCAGTTTAGCTAGATTCGATCCATGGCGTCACCAACTCCACTGGGATCGCCGTCTTCCGCTAACGTCACGGTGCAAAACTCGCCGTCCATGGTGGCGGCGGATGAAACTCGCCGTTTACAGTTCTCGCTCAAGATTGCGCATAAACTTGATGAGAAAAACTTCCACCTTTGGCTTCAACGGGTGGAGCCCTACATCAACGCGCACAATCTCACAAATCTCGTCGTTTGCACTCGAATTCCTCCCAAATTCGTGGACGATGATGCTCGTCATCAAGGTACGATCAATCCTACATACTCAATTTGGATTCAGAAGATTGCGTGTAGAATTGCATGCCCTAATTCTGGAGTCTCAATCTATCTCTGATTACTTGTTGAAAATTCGCATGATTGTGGATGCATTGGCTTCAATTGGAGATCTTATTCCCAGTTCTCACCATATTGATGTGATTCTTGAGGGGCTTTCTAGTGAATATGCTCCTGTTGTTTCAGTTGTAGAGAGCAAATTTGGTGATATGGATTTGGATGAGGTTGAAATTCTCCTAATTGCACATGAATTGAGGCTGAACAAATTCAAGAAATCCACTATGCCAGATCTTGGATCTCTCAACCTCACACACACTTCACCTCAGGCAGTTTCCCCTGAAACTCCTTAGTCTGGAAGTACTGATTCTACTCACTCACAGGTAGCTCCCTCTCATGCAGAGCCTGAATATTCCAGTTTCAGAGGTGGTAGATCAAACAGGGGTGGTCGTGGCAAAGGTAGAGGTGGCAGGAACTCCACAATTCAATGTCAGGTTTGCTCCAAGGTTGGACATTCAACTTTCAATTGCTGGCATAGGTTCAATCAACAGTTTCAGCCTCCCTCATATAGTGGTAATCCCTACGATGCAGCTCCTTGGCAATTTCCTCAGGTGCCTTATGGCTGATTTCCTGCTAATGTGTGGACAAGACCTCCAGTTGCTCAAGCAAGGCCAACTCTTGCCTATTCCTCTCCCAGCACATTCATTGCAAATGCAGCTTCCTCTACATCAACTATGTCCTGGTATCCTGATTCAGGGGCTTCATATCAAGTCACCAATGATGCAAATAATCTGCAACAAGCCACACCTCTTGAGGGTCATGAATAGATTTACATAGGAAATGGCCAAGGTTTACTTATTAACTCCTGCTAGTTCTAGTCAATTTTTGTCTCAAAATCACCCTCACACACCTCACATTAAATAATCTATTACATGTGCCTTCCATTACCAAGAATCTCACAAGTGTGAGTCAGTTTTGTCGTGGCAATCATGTTTACTTCCTTTTCACAGCTGATTCATGCTTTGTCAAATGTCAGGTGTATAATGCTGTTTTGCTGACTGGTCAAGTTGGTTCAGATGGGCTGTATGAGTTTCCCTTGCTAAATGTTTCTAAATTTGCTAAGTCTACTAAGTCTTTAGACTTTTCCAATAAGCTTGTACCTTCTGTTAATTCTGTTACTATTTCTCCTGCTTTATCCAATGTGTGTCATTCAAGACTAGGCCATCCTAATATCAACACCTTGAGACTGGTGCTACAAAGTTGTAATCTCAATTTCAGCAATAAAAATCATGAATATTTCTGTTCTGCCTGGTGTATGGGTAAAGCACATAGATTGCATTCACCTATTTCACACACCACTTATCATCACCCTTTAGAACTTGTGTACTGTGATCTGTGGAGGCCGTCTCCCCAAACATCAGCACAAGGGTTTACATACTGCATCTCCTTTGTTGATGATTTTTCCAAGTTCTCATGAAGCACTTAGTGTCTTCAAGCAATTTAAGTCTCTTGTAGAATTGCAACTTAGATTCTCCATTAAAGCTGTTCAGTCAGATTGGGGTGGGGAATTTCGTCCCTTTAGCAAATTTCTGGCTGACTTAGGCATAGTGCACAGGATTATATGTCCTCATACTCACCACCAAAATGGAGTGGTGGAAAGGAAACATAGGCACATTGTGGATCTAGGCTTAACTCTTTTAAGTCAAGCTTCCTTACCATTAACATACTGGGATTGTGCCTTCGCCACAACTGTTTTTCTCATAAACAAACTTCCCTCTTTAGTTATTCAATTTCAGGTTCCCTATACTCTTCTGTTTCACATTTTGCTTGTTTACAAATTCTTGAAGGTCTTTGGTTGTGCATGCTTCCCACTCCTGAGACCTTATAATGCACACAAACTGAAATTCAGGTCTCAAGAATGTCTGTTTTTGGGTTATTCCAATTCTCACAAGGGTTATAAGTGTCTCTCCCCTAACGACAAACTTTATATATCCAAGGATGTTCTATTTCATGAATCCAGGTTTCCCTACCTTGAGTTATTTTCTCCACCTACTTCACATGCTCCTAATGTCAATGACCCCGCCAAACAAAATTCCTCATCATCCCTATCCTCTCTCTTTTCCAATGTTTCTCTCCCTAAACCTATGCCTCTAACAACGGTTCCCTTTTCTTCTGCTGACTCACCTACTTCTGCCACTTCCTCCGATTCCTCTACATCTACAAGTAAGTCAGGTGATGTCTCTCCATCTATCACTGAACCTGAGAACATTTTATCTCGTACTCCTCAGACTTCATCTCTGCCTTCTCACTCAAAGCCTCCAATAATCCTACACCATCCTGCCTTTCAGCTAATGCTGTAGCAGTTAGCTCTAAACCTATCAACCAACACTCTATGACAACAAGAGCCAAAACTGGATTTGTGCAACCCAGACTGAATCCCAAATTGTTACTCACTCATACAGAACCTAAAACTGTGAAACAAGCTCTTGCAGATGCTAAGTGGAAAGAAGCTATGCGGTCTCAATTTGATGCCTTGAGTAACAATAACACCTGGTCCCTTGTGCCTCTTCCACCTAATAGGCAATCTATAGGTTGTAAGTGGGTGTTTCGCATCAAGGAAAACCCAGATGGCCCAGTGGGTGTTTCATCAGAAGCAAGGGTGTGATTTTAGTGAGACTTTTTCCCCTATTATGAAGCCAATTACAATTACACTCATCTTGATTATTGCCTTCACTCACAAATGGTCTATCCAGCTGCTTGATGTAAATAATGCCTTTCTAAATGGGCTGCTCCACGAAGAGGTCTATATGGATCAACCTTTTGGCTTTGTTCACTCAAATTCTTCTCTTGTGTGAAAACTACACAAAGCCCTTTATGGCTTGAAACAGGCCCCCAGACAGTGGTTTGAAAGGTTACAAGAGACTCTTCTTAGATTGCACTTCAAACCTAACAAACGTGATCCCTCCCTGTTCACCTTTGCTGCAAATGGTAACACTTTATTTGCTAGTGTAGTATATGTGGATGATATCATCATCACCAGCAATAACACTACTCTACTTCAGTCCATTATTCATAAACTCAACTCAGACTTTTCTCTCAAACACCTGGGTGATTTGGATTATTTTCTTGGGATTGAAGTAAAACCTGCTGCTCAGGGATCTATGCTCCTCACTCAAACTAAGTATATTAGGGATTTACTGCAAAGAACTCACATGGCTGACTCTGCCCCTGTTACCACTCCTATGCAACCCTCCTGCAAGGTAACTAAACTTGGCTCCCCTGCTCTTGTTGATCCATATATATACAGGTCTGTGGTTGGGGCTCTCTAATATGCAACCATCAAAGGACCTGATATTGCTTATGCTGTTAATAAAGTCTGTCAGTTTATGTCTCATCCTCTGGAAACACACTGGGTTGCTGTCAAAAGAATACTCAAGTATCTTAAAGGTACTATCCAGCATGGTCTTCATCTATCCCCTCATGTTCCATCTAAGGCTCCTTCACTTCAAGTCTTCTGTGATGCTGACTGGGCTTCAGACCCAGATGATAGGCGCAGTACATCTGGTGCAGCTATCTATTTTGGAGGAAATTTAGTGTCCTGGTGGTCCAAGAAGCAACCTGTGGTTGCTAGGTCCAGCACAAAAGCAGAATACAAAAGTTTAGCTCAGGCCACAACTGATCTTCTCTGATCTTCTCTGGCTTCAAACTTTATTAACTGAACTGCGTGTTCCTACTCAACAGCCAGTGGTGCTTTATGACAATCAATCTGGAGTGATGTTGGCTCACAATCCCATCATGCACTCCAGGACAAAGCATATGAAAATTGACCTTTTTTTTGTGAGAGAAAGAGTTCTTGCCAAGCAAATCAGGGTTGCTTATATCCCTGGTGTGGATCAGATTGTTGATGTGCTTACTAAACCACTTTCATCTACAAAGTTTCTGGACTTCAGGCACAACTCAGGGTTGGGGTATTAGAGTGGAGCTAAGAATAGAAGTATTAATACTATAGTAGCCTTGTAAATGACTGACATGTGTCAAGTCTAGAGCAGTAGCTGACCTGCTATAGCAGGTCACACAAGTTGCTACTATAAATGCAACTGTGTATCACCTCTTGTAACTAACTTTTACAATAATAGAATTCTGTTATAACAAAAATGGAAAGTTCATCTTTGATTTCTATGACCTTCTCTATCACTCTTCCAGTTCCATTATAAAAGTGTGTCCTAGATAAACCCTTTGGAAAGTTAGGCTTGTAAATTGTAATTTGTAATAAGGTTTTAAGTTCTTGATATGGACAGTGATCCTAGACATTATCGTTACTAACAAAGCAATAATACAGTGACATGATTGAATATCCCACAAAGCTCTGTTTCTTGATTGTAAACTATCTGGTTCTAGTTCAATATAGAGTGGTACTGGTCTTGGATGTAAAATTGATGCCCTATTGTAATTGTACATGATTTTTCAATGAGGTTCTACTTAAGGGTTTTCAGCTGCCGGACTGAAGCCCTGAAGATGAAAAACAGTTGCTCCCAAGGACCCAAACTATAACTATCATCACCAAAAACTGTGGCATTGCCCTTTAAAAAACCTGGAGACTTATTTTGGCGAATGCATGTTGTAATAAATGATAAAATTACAAGACTTATTTTGTATAAAAAATCCAACTTCATCTTCGATATTCTACAAAACTAATGTGATTGAACTTTGTTGCACTTTCTCATATTTTCTACATAAATCAACTTACTGTGTAAATGGTTTTCACTTTGCAGGAAGCTGCTGCATATTCTCGAACTTGGAGAGGACATATGCAAAATCTACTTGGTTATGCTTGTTCCGTTTATTGTGTGTATAAAATGATCAAGGTATATTGGACATCATAAACTGATATTTTATAGGCTAGAATTAGGGTTTGTTGGAAAAAGTAATGCTTGTCATGGTGGATTAGAGCTCTCTTACAGTATAAATGGCTCGGAAGCAATGTATGGTAAATCCAAAAATCCATTTGGTGAATGATGCCAAACTAATGATTCATTTGTTGTTTTCAATTCATTCTTCACGATTTGAATATAAATCTAATTTTGTTAGGTTTCCAACTCATAAATTGCAGCCCAAATAAAGTGATAGAAACCTACTGATATATAAAAGAAAATAGGGAAGATCCCTTTGATTTACAGAATAATACCGCAAAACTTTGAGAGTCTGCACCTCCCAATGCCAAAAATGGCCCCTTTTCCTATTCAATTCCAAGATGATCAACTCCCCAATGTCTTCCTTTATTTATTCTAGACCTAAACACTCTGAATTAATATTATAATAATTCTAATAATTACCCACTAACTCGTAATAATTTAATAACAGTTACGAAATTGAAGAGTCTAACAATACTCCCCCCTTAAAGATTCACCTTGTCCTCAAGGTGAAAGGAATACACAATAGAAAAAATGTATCCTCCTGGATCCCATAACTTGAAACATAAAGGTTGAGTTGTACATGAAATAAGAAATTTTCCCCCAGTGGTACCGGTAGTGGAAATTTCTTGTTCCTAGACTTTATCTTAGGAAATTTCTTGTTAGACTTTGCATGTAATCTCTGTCACTTCTTTGGACATTTGTTTCACTAGTGGTCATCAATGAATCTGTATTTTTCACTTCGTCGCTCTCGCAATCAGATTTGATATCCACTTTACAAACTTCTTTTTCACTGTATTGTTGGATTTGTGAGTCATCAACTTTACCACCAATTTTTTATTCAGTTGGTAATGCTATTGGTTCTTGAATTTCACTGCTGCCTTGGATTTCCTATGTTTCGTTTTCAGTCTCCAGTAGACAGTCCCAAACTTCTGGTTGGAATTTCTTGAGAATGGCCTTTACAAAATTCCACCGACAAGTATTTGGATGACTCTCCTTCCAAGAAAATCCACCAATCAAGAGCATCTCCTCTCAATGCAAATGCAACAACCCACTCAAGCTTCATCTCTTCACTCATTCTTCTTGACCCAAAATATTGCTCAACCTGGATCAGCCACCAATAGGCCTCCCTTCCATCAAATCTTGGAATCAAATTTGCAGCCATATTCATACCAAAATTTCCAGCACACCGGCAAAATCTTTTTGGATCAGAACGACTTTGATACCAGTTGATAGAAACCAACTGATATATAAAAGAAAATAGGGAAAATCCCTTTGATTTACAGAATAATACCGCAAAACTTCGAGGGTCTGCACCTCCCAATGCCAAAAATGGCCCCTTTTCCTATCCAATTCTAAGATGATCAACTCCCCAATGTCTTCCCCTATTTATTCTAGGCCTAAACACTCTGAATTAATATTATAATAATTCTAATAATTACCCGCTCATAATAATTTAATAAAAGTTACGAAATTGAAGAGTCTAACAGCTCATGACGTGGGTTGATGAAATTTACCAAAATATCCATGTATTTGAAAATACAAACAACTTAAAGTAATAGCTTAGTATATTTCCCTAGAAAAAATTAGGACAAAATACAGACTGCACCCTGAAGTTTGGACCATTTTCATGTTTAGTACTCTTTGTTTTGTTACCTCTAACCTCTGAATTTTTGGTAAACTGTGAAATTGTTAAGTGGGATGTTAGACTCGATGGAATGGAGCACTACTAAGTGTGTGTCACATGGTAAAGGGTAACATGTTAACAAACCACTTTATTATGTAAGGAATTTCAAGGGATTTACAACTTTACAAAACAAACTTTATTAATGTAGACCAAACTTTAGGGGCTTAATATTTTCTTAAAAACTGAATGGAAGCACCTGTGTGGTTGAAACGTAAACTCCGGGTTTATTGATGCTATGCAATGCATTGCCATATAAATTTAAAAGTACTTAGGTAAAGATCTGGCATGCTATCTCTAATCAATAATTAGGAATCTCAGCACCTTAAGCTTCCTTCTGTGTTTAATACTTGAATTGAAGGAGCTTGGTGAATTTAGTTAAAGAGGAATTGTATCATTTTTAAGTGAGAGAAAAAGTTAAACAATAATTGTTGATATTTAAATTAATATGTTCTGTATATATAGGGATCACATATTCTCTTATACTCTAGTATATGTTTCTTGAATATTCTATTGTTGTTAAAACTCTAGATTGTATAGTGGTTTCTTTTCTAGCCTATATAATGGAACCTCCGTGGTGTAGTTGATACTCTACTTTGTAACTATAGTGCATCATTCCCAAATCAATGTCCTCTACTTTGCATTTATGATAATGGTAAATACACTAATGCTTGATAAAGTTCATTTGGCAAAGTTGTAGTTCTCTTTTTTTCATTTATAGCTTCTACGTAATTTGTGCGAAAAAAATCTAGTGACACTCGTAATGGGATTAGAGGGAGTTTCATATTACAGTGCTGAGAAGTTCAATCAAGGCTGACTGAACATATGTTGTTTTTCCCAATTGGTGACATCTGTATGGTGATATTAGCAGTGATAGTATTTTGCTGGAGCATTTCTCTAGTGAGTTTTTATTAATTTTGAATTTGTTGTAGTCAATATGGCTAATTGATTAATCTTTTTTTTTTTTGCAGTCATTGCAAAGTGTTGTTTTCAAACAGGTAAAGATCATATATCATTATTAGTGTTTTCCAAAAATTGTTACTGCTTTCTAGCTTTTGGACTGACTCTTATACTGTCATTGTACTCTTTTGATGATAATATGTTTCTATTATAGTCTGGTTCAGTTGACCCCGTGACAAGGATGATTAGTATATTCCTACAATTTTTTGATATTGGAATAAATGCAGCCTTATTATCTCAGGTAAGTGTCCAATTGCATGCTATTCTTATTTTGGAATAAATGATGGTCAATGTCTCTAAAGCCTATAATGTATTCTTATTTAAAGATCAAATTAATTTTTTTCTTCCGTATTCTGTAAAGAGTTATATACTTATATAGGTATGAGACGAGGTTATTCAGCTGGCCTTCATCTAGTTACACCACACGTTCTAAATTCACGAGGATAAATATGTAGAGTTTAATTATTAAATACAATTAAGTTAGTACAATCCATTGCTGTAATCTTCTGTTTCTCTCCCAGTTCTTCTCTCACACTCCGCTTAACTGGTGGGCGTTGCCTAATAGAATTTTTCAGTTACTTTGTTGTTGACTCATGCTAGAATTTGTCTGATATTAAATGATTTGATGTTGTATTTATTTATAATTTTTCTGCATTTATTTTACAGTATATTTCCTTGCTGTTCATCGGAATGTTGGTTGTGATATCAGTGCGTGGATTCTTAACAAATTTAATGAAGGTATTTATGCTGCTTTCATTTGCCTACTTTTTTCCATTTGATGTTTTCTTAGATAGTTTGTTACTATTAGCATGTTATTCTGTTAAACTGCCTCTTTTGAATCCTTTATTGTGGAGTGGACCAGTGGGGCCATTTAGGAAATGCTTAATAACTTCCTTAAAAGGAAGCTAATATTATATGCAATAATAATGTGGTTTTGCACCTCCGAAACCTATGGAAAATTTTAAAGCTGAATTTGCATACAAGCTGGGATAATCTACAAAAGAATAAAAATATGATAATGGAGAGTAAACAATGCACGTTCCTGGCACGAATAAATGAATAATCTACCTCTTTTGGTACTAAACAGCTTGTTAGTGCAAGGTGATGAAATTGAGGAAGAAGAGAGAAAAAAATAAATGCTAAAAGCTGCCACAAATGATTGAAGGAATTGATTGATATAAATGTAAACCTAGTACACCTATTTATACACAAATAAGAATGCCACAGGTCCTAATCAAAAATATTTACAAATGACAAATACTAAATTACCCTCTAATACCATCCCGTAATTTAGTAATTTATCAGAAGTTAACAACACCAATTTCATCTCTCAAACGAAGAAATTGGTCTGTTTTTATCGCCTTTGTCAGAACATCTGCCAGCTGCTTCTGAGTGCTACAGTGCAGAACTTCTAACACTCCTTTCTGCACTTGACTTCTGAGAAAATGATACTTCGTCTCAATGTGTTTGCTTCTTCCATGTAGCACTGGATTCTTTGCAAGATTAATTGCAGACTTATTATCAATCATCAGCTTCAGAGGTTCCTCAACTTCAACCTTCAGATCATGCAGCAGATTCAGAAGCCAAACTGCTTGACACGCAGCTACAACACCTGCAATGTATTCAGCTTCACATGTTGACAAAGCCACAACCTGCTGTTTCTTGGAACTCCAAGAAATTGGACCTCCCAGAAACTTGAACAAGTACCCAGAAGTACTTCTTCTGTCAACTCTATCTCCACACCAATCAGAATCAGAATAACTCAGAAGTTCTGATTTGATCTTTCCTCCAGAAGGAAATAACACTCCATATTTCAGAGTTCCTTTTACATACCTTAGAATCCTGACAGCAGCTTGGTAATGAGACCACTTTGGTTTGCTCATGTATCTGCTGACCATTCCAACTGCATAACAAATATCAGGTCTGATATTACACAAATACCTCAGAGAACCAACCATCTGTTTGAAGGTTGTAGCATCCACATCCTCTCCATCAGAATCAGAATCCAACTTCTGATTCGTATCAGCAGGTGTGATAGCAATCTTGCAATTTGCTAGCTCAAATCTCTTCAGAAGCTCCAGTTCATACTTATTCTGATGTAAGATGATTCCTTTCTCAGAGTATATAAATTCCATTCCTAGAAAGAAACTCATTTTTCCAAGATCTGTCATCTCAAACGCATTCATCAGAACTTTCTTGAACTCAACTGTTTCTTGTTCAGAACTTCCTGTGAGTAATATGTCATCAACATACAAACAGACCAGAATCATATTACCTTCTGAAGTATGCTGAACATAAACACCATACTCCATCTCACACTTCTGAAACCCTTGTTCCTTGAAAAACGAATCAATCTTCAAATTCCAAGCTCTGGGCGCTTGCTTCAGTCCATACAGAGCTTTATTTAACCTGTATACCATCCCTTCCTGATTCTTTTTCACAAATCCAGGAGGTTGTGACACATAAACTTCTTGTAATGGACCGTTCAGAAATGCAGACTTCACATCCAGATGTATCAAAGGTCAATTTCTGTTTGCAGTTAAAGCAATCACTAGTCTGATTGTTTCATGTCTAGCTACAGGCGCAAACACCTCAAAGTAATCTAGTCCAGGTTTCTGAAGAAAACCTCTGGCCACTAGTCTCGCTTTGTGTTTGCCAATTGATCCATCTGGCTTTAACTTCTGCTTGAAAACCCATCTGACGTTGATGGCTTTCTTGCCTTTTGGAAGTTCTGTCAGCTTCCAAGTCTTGTTTCTTTCAATAGCCTCAAGTTCTTCTTTCATGGCATTTAGCCATACTTTCTTCTTGAGCGCTTCTTCAATACCCACTAGTTCAGAATCTACTAGCATGGCACACTGAACGATTTCTCCTTCAGAATCTACTTCAGTATCATGCAACATGCTAAAATCTGCAAACCTACTTGGTATTTGTCTGATTCTCTGTGGCCTCTGATCTTGTTCTGAAGCTTCTCCAGAACTCGGAGCTGTGCTGACTTCTGGACTTTGTCTAGAATTATTTCCTTCAGAATTACCACCTTCAGAGTTACTTCTGGAAGCTTGTTCTCCAGACCCCATGTCTTCATAGTTTTCCCTTCCAGAAGTATAATCACAACCAGATTCTGGATCATCATCAGAATCTGGATCAGAATCAGATCCACTATCAGAATCTCCCTGAGATTCTGACTCAACTTCAGAGTCTTTATCTTCTGACTCTGACTCGTCTTCAGAACTTTCAGAAACTAACCCTGGTGTTGGCACTACACCAGAATCTGATTGAAGCTTGTTCCAATCCCATGTTTCTGACTCTTTCACAATGATGTCTCTGCTGATTTCAACTTTGTTGGTTTCTGGACAATAAAGCTTATAGGCACCTGTACTGTGGTACCCCACCAGTAACATTGTTTTGCTTCTATCATCCAGTTTTCGTCTTCTAGCATCTGGAACGTGTTTATAGCATACAAAACCAAACACCTTCAGATGGCTAACACTTTGCTTGTCTCCAGTCCATTTTTCTAAAGGAACAGTTTCCTTCAGCTTCTTTGTTGGACACCTATTCAGAACATATGCTGATGTGGCAACAACTTCTCCCCATAACATGTGAGGTAACTTCTCTTTCAGCATACTTCTGGTCATATCAAGCAAAGTTCTGTTTCTTCTTTCAGCAAGACCGTTGTGCTGAGGAGTATATGGAGCAGTAACCTCATGTTCTATTCCATTCTCCTCACAGAACTTCTGGAACTCTGTAGAGTTATACTCACCTCCACCATCTGTTCTCAGAATCTTCAGCTTCTGACCACTCTGCTTCTCAGCCTTCACCTTGAACTTCTGGAACTCAGTAAACACTTCATGCTTAAACTTGACGAGTGTTACCCATGTCATTCTTGTGAACTCATCCACAAAAGACACAAAATATTTGTTTCCTCCAAGTGAAGGTACTGGAAATGGTCCACACACATTAGAATGTACTACTCCCAGAGCATGCTTTGCTCTGGGGGCTACTTTTGATGCAAATGGCAATCTGGGTTGCTTGCCTTTCATGCATATCTCACATGACTTCTGAGGCTTCACAATCTTCGAAATGCCATGTACGAGCTTCTTAGAACTTAGATGCCCTAAGCTTCTATAGTTCAAGTGTCCCAACCTCTTGTGCCACAGTTTACTGTCAGCTTCAGCGCCTTCTGCACTAAGACACTCCGCTCCAGAAGTTTCTACATTCACCTTGAATGTTCTGTTGCTTCCCTGCTCAGACTTCATAATCAACTTCTGATTAGAATCATACAACGTCAAGAGATTGTCCTTCATAACCACTGAGAAACCTTTCTCAATAAGCTGACCCACACTCATCAGATTGCTTTTAATTCCAAGAACATACCAAACTTCTTTGATCAGAATGTTTCTTCCATTCTTCACTCTGACTCTAACATTTCCCATACCTTCTGCATTAAGTACTTATCATCAGCACATCTGATCTTTGTTCTCTTTCTGGAGTCAAAGTCTATCAGCCATTGTTTGTTCCCAGTCAAGTGGTTTGAACAGCCAGTTTCCATATACCACCAATCTCCTGAACAATTTCCATCAGAATCAGAAGCCATCAGTAGCACAGGTTCATCATCAGAATCTTCTCTGGCTATATTTGCTTCTTCTGGTTTCCTTCCTCTGTTTCTACAGTCTCTGGCAAAATGGCCAAACTGTTTACAACAGTAACATTGAACCTTCTTCTTGTCATACCTTTCCTTTCCCTTCTGATATTTCTTTTCATCAGAAGTTGAGGTTTCTGACTTCTGGAATTTATCACCATGTCTATTCTGCTTCTGGTCCTTCTTGACAAAAGAAGCTTTCAGAGCTTGCTCCACTTCCCTCTCAGAAGTTCTTTCAGTCAGACGCAACTCTTGTGCTTCTAGACTGCTTTGCAACTCTTCTATTCTCATGGTTTCCAGATTTTTAGAATGTTCAATAGAAACAACAATGTAATCAAACTGAGGAGTAAGTGACCTCAGAATCTTTTCTATGATTACCTGTTCAGAAAGTGTTTCTCCACAAGCCTTCATTTCATTAGTGATCAGAATCATTCTGGAGATGTACTCAAACTTTCTCACTGTTCTTCATGCTGAGATTTTCATATTGTTTTCGCAGGGACTGAAGCTTTACCTTCTTTACTGATACGTCACCACCATAACATCTGGTCAGTATATCCCATGCCCCTTTCGACGTCGTCGAATCAACAATCTTCTCAAACACATTTTCATCCACACACTGATGGATAAAGAACAGAGCTTTCTGATCCCTCTTCCTTGTAGCTCTTTCTTCTGATTTTTGTTCTTCAGTAGCACCTGCTGCAGCTGGAACATAACCTTCAGAAACAAGATCCAGAACATCCTGAGCACCAAACAGCACACGCATTTGTATCTTCCATCTGTTCCAGTTTTTGCCATCAAAAACTGGAAGTTTAGTGTTCAAACTACTGCCTCCATTCATCTTAAACCTTGCACAAAAACTCAGATCTCAGATTTCTCACTCAGTGTTTCCCAAACCCACAAAATCAGTGTGATTCTGTTTCAGATTTTTTGTTCAAGATTCAAAAATCAAACACACAGCTCACTATCACTCGTGTTTCTCAGAATTTCAGAACAAACCAAGAAGCTCTAGATACCAATTTGTTAGTGCAAGGTGATGAAATTGAGGAAGAAGAGAGAAAAGAATAAATGCTAAAAGCTGCCACAAATGATTGAAGGAATTGATTGATATAAATGTAAACCTAGTACACCTATTTATACACAAATAAGAATGCCACATAGGCCCTAATCAAAAATATTTACAAATGACAAATACTAAATTACCCTCTAATACAGCTTACTCAAACTCCCAAAACAATAATGACATGCTTTTACAAATTTTCTAAAAATATTTTAAAAGAAAATCATTAAACATAAGAAAAAAATATAAAACCTACATGCTTATCATCAATCTCCAGCAGAGACCCTTCATAAATAGGCAGCTCTCACAATGACTTATAAGATCGAAATGTTCACTTCGACAGAATGCTCATTCTCATCAACACTGAAATAATGCTTGTAGTACTAAAATAACAAGGCTTATAGTAAGAGACTCAATTTAACTACTTGATTTGACTTCTTAATGATATGACTAACTTTACTTTTGTTTTGAATTTCAGTTCTTTTTCGCAGTTTCAAGAGTTGGAAGTGGATCGTCTAGCAATGTTGTCCTGTTTTTGTCTGAAATAATGGGAATGTATTTTCTATCTTCTATTCTTTTAATCAGGAAAAGCTTAGCAACTGATTACAGGTAAAATTGTGTGCTCGGTTTACTGTTTCAAATCTTTTAGAGTTGGCTTCATTCCAGAATGAACTTTTTTGTTCCTTTCTTGTTTATTAATTTTGGAATGTGCAATGAGTTCGCCAACATGGCCTATGTAGTAAGTAATATGTGCGTTGGTAATGTTTTAATTGACTTGCGTTGTAGAAAATGTCCAGCAATTCTGCTTAATCAGAATTACAAAATTGGTGGGGTTTGATATTTACACATGGCTGGAGACAATATATGAATACTAAGTAAGAAAGGTTATGGAAATATTAAGTTTTTAATTAATCAAAATGTTTTAACAGAATAGATAATAAGCGTAAAGGAGAGTAAACTGAAAACATTAGGTTACTTACGTCTTCATAGATAATATAAATGCAAGAGTGAAGATAAAAAGAAACAAAAGAATGGACATCACCAATATTGTTTCAGTATTTCTTTCAATCCTATTTATATCTGTGCTCAGAATTCAACTCAGTTGTCGCAGACCGAAGTAATGGTTGGTCTGGTTGTTTGTGGCACTTGTCTTGTCTTAAGTGATTCAAATAGTTATAATTTCACTAAACTACCTAAGATTTATCAACATTTGTCAGTCTTGATCATATCTTATCTGAATCTATTGACAGGATTATTATTACAGAGGTAATGGGTGGCGATATCCAATTTGACTTTTATCATAGGTGGTTTGATGCAATTTTTGTGGCTAGTGCATTCCTTTCTCTACTTTTACTATCTGCACATTATACATCTCGCCAAATCGACAAACATCCCATTGATTGTGAGTGTAACCTTACCACTTAAATAAATATGAACTGATCTTCTTTTAAGCATTTTGAATTATAGATTTTGCTGCTAGATAATGAATCACATACTATATTTGTTGTTTGTAAAACAGGAAACATATTCTCTTTATATACATGTATAGTTTCTACTGCCACTGAAGGTATGATTCAGTCCTCTAAACATGAAGGTTCAAACCTTCTGGATGGATGCATTCAAGTTTATGTGATAACTGCTGGGGATTAGTTATTATTTTCATATGCCAGTGAATAGCTGATTAAAAATCCACGCTGAAATAGATTTCTCATGAGTCAGGGTTGGATATTGTTTGTAATGTCAACATATGCACATAATGCCAAATTCATCAGAATATCCATTTTAAATTTATCTTCTTTCGAAAGGGGGAGACTTCCGAGCAGATATTGTTGTTGGGCAACATTGAATGTAGATTTGCTTTTTTGCTTTCTTGAATATATATAATGAATTGGATGTGAATAGTTTTTGCACTTGGCCTGGGATTGGTTCCATTCCATTGGCGTAAGCAACAACAGCATACTTGGTGGTAATTTTCGATTATCCTTAATTGAAATGCCATCCAATATTTCGGTTGTTGCTTGGATTATTATAATATCTATCATATACCTGCAATAGAAAAAAAGTACATCGACTAGTAGTATCGGTATTTTTCTTCAATGTGAACGCTGATCCCGTCATGAATCTGACAGTTTGGAATGAAAGACCCCAACTTCCTACTGGTTCAATTCTTGGTTTTTTCCGGTTTCGATTGATTAAATGGTTAATTACGGGTTCAATAAAAATAAGAGGCAGGCGTAAGACATGCTGCCACATAATACAATTCACAGTTCAAAGCAGCTCCCAACATTGCAAACAGACCCATAACCCATTGATATAGCAATGATAGGAGGTTTGAACTTCACACCCCTACAGTTGAATTTGGCACTCCCCAAAATGTATGGAAAGATTAAAATAGGTAAACAAAAGTTTTTCATAAACTTTTGAAATTTCCAGGACCACACTGAAAAATTTGAAATTTACAAGGCGATATCGGAGATTTCCAGAGCGTACCGAAGTTTTCGCGAAATAATAAGAAATTTACGGTATTTCTTTAAAATTTTCGGTGTATTGTCACGAAAATTTAGAAATTTCAAGTATTTCGTACTTGAAATTTGGAAAATTTCGATATTTCATACTGGAAATTTGGAAAATTTCAGTTATTTTGTTTCATTTTATACTGGAATTTTTGAAATTTCCGGTTGTTCACTTTATGTATTGGAAATTTCTGGTAGTTCATTTTTTTTTAAAGTACCATATATTTCTAAATATCTGGTAGCTCATTTTTTCTTAATTTTTTTCTCCCTTTATTTTTTGTTTCAGTGAGGACCATGGACAAACACGATATTGTTGCAGGCAGGGTGACTGATAGAGCAGAAGCTCGGGCCTCGGCTGATGAGACACATGCTTCCGAGTTACGGGCAAGACGATGTGTTGTGTCCGATTTTCATCGAAAACGGTTGGCTGAGTAGCAGACGCAATTTTGCGCACCTCGACGGCAAACTGCTCATGTGGAGGCACCCGTTCCTATGATGTTCCTGCTCTTATGATTGAGTAGGTTGTTGTGGAGCCGACTGCTGAGGAGGATGTGACTGCTGAGGAGGTTGTTGTGGATGAGGAGGTTGTTGAGGAGGCTTTTATGGAAAGGATTTTTGAACAGGTTGTTGTTGAGCAGGCCGATGAGGTGTCTCCCAATGATACAGACGCCACGACTTGTACGTCTACGGAGCCATCATTTCACACTGATGGAGTCTTTTCAAGAGGACCTTCAGACATGTCCATGTTGACAACATTTTCCGACCATGTCGCATACAAGATATGGCAGAGTGAGATATATATTTTGCTTTCTTTTATTACAAAATTTTCATAACGGCTCGATCAAGTATTTGAAAGTTCATGTATAATTTTTTTTAACTTTGCTTCTTACAGGAGCGTGCGGTGCTGAAGGTCACATCACATGGTTTGAAAACTTTGCTTCCCAAAGGGTGAGATGCCTGAGGAGGTCAGACATATTGTTTATGATTTTTAGTATCCTTCACAGTGCGAGGATGGATACCTGGAGTGGTATCACAATATATCACACCCTCAAGTCATACCACAGACTAGGATTTTGATGTTTTTGGGCCTTCACGTGTTAGGGTTTCTGACATGTCACCACCACCACCTGTAGGTGACTAGGACAACCGCCTACAGTTTATTGCTCTTCATTTAGATAATTTCATGGGTTTGGTAAACATTGATGGTGAGATTTATACATGTTTAGTTAGGTTAGCGGACGTAGCCTATGGGCGGCGTAAGTAGATCTGTTATATTTTAGTTGTATTATATGTATATTGTGACATAAAGACTTCTTATTTATTGCATAATATTTTGGCGATTACATGTTTCGATTCGAAGATGAACATAACATAAAACAATACAACAAACATAAATTAAAAAAAGTAAACATGAAAACCTAGGCACTACCAGATGGTTCTGGATGTTTCAGCATCTTGATTATATCGTCGAGGAATCTTTTATCTGCACGTCCAACTTGATCGAACCTTTAGTTATCCTGTGATGAAATGATTTTCATATGGCTTTCACATCTTTTTCATCAGTCTTCAACTCAATCAGGTTGTATTTCACTCTTCCATTTGTATCAATCAAATATTTCTAAAACTCGATCTTTCTCACCCTCCTGTTATCTAAATCAAGCAGCAATTCATTCAACTTTTCTTTCAAGTTGACAAGGATGTGGTGCCATCTGGAAGCTTAAATTCAATAGTAGGGTTGCTTTCGTTGTAATACACTTATACCTTAATCGGAAATTGAAGAAGATGCATTTCTTGAGATGTCTTTCTCTATAACATATGCTTATATATATATATATATATATATATATATATATATATATATATATATATATATATATATATATATATATATATATATATATATATATATATATATATATATATATATATATATATATATATATATATATATATATATATATATATATATATATATATATATATATATATATATATATATATATATATATATATATATATATATATATATATATATATATATATATATATATATATAAATGGTGATGCATTCTAGATCACACAAATTTATCGGTGCAATCAGAATCCTCCAAAGATGTCGGCGAAATCATGATCGTTAAAAAAACTTGAATTAATGAACTACCAAAAATTTTAGTATATTTAAAATTTCCAATACTGACTAATAAATTTGAAATTTCTGAAATACCAGAAATTTCATATGAACTACCAGAAATTTTGCTATGTCATACCAAAAATTGAGAATATCTTTCTACACTTGCAGTTCTTCAGTACCTATGGCGAAATTTCCAAAATACCCCCAGATTTCAAAAGTGCATCTCCGAACGGACCACCAACGTGAATTATTAACTTTAATTCAGATATGCATATCCGAAGTCACCTATTAGACATTTTAGGAAATGCATATCCAAAAGTATCTATGGGAAGAACAAAATTTCAACATAATTAATAACATTCATTCAACATAATTCAAAGAAGTTACATAAATAATTATGTAGAAAATTAAAGTTATATATTGTGATACGGTGGCCAGAACCGGGACGTGTTTTGAAATGCTGGTTTGCGTTTTGCGTTTGTGTTCGCAAAATGTCGCGGTAAGCAAGAGTCGCCACCGAATTTTATTTTATCCAACAAGGAAAGGAAAAAAGCACAGAAAAATTCTTTTTTCGAGATTTTCTGAGTACGGGGGGTAGATTATAGAAAGGGAAGGTATTATCACCCTTTCTATTCGTAGTTATCTACGGGCTCTTAGGTACTTGCTCATCATTTTCAAAATTGTTTTCTTTGTGTTTGTGGGTTTTGAAAAGTTTTTGTTTTAACTTCGATTTAAATCTTGCTTCTGTCTTCAAGAGCGTAATGAAGTGTTTTTGAAAACTCGTTCGTAATAGTGTAAGTGTGAAAAAGTCTTGTTTTGATTGAGCAAGTACTTAAAAGCTAATCTATTTACTCGAAAAAAAGAATCGTTCTGTATTCGTTTCCTTTAGACAATGCTATCCCACTATTGGTGAGTAGGTAGCACCGTCGTTAGAGTTTGAGGGTCAACTCAAGAGGGACATATAGTCACTAAAGCAACGTTAGAACGTCTTAGTGGTAACCCTAATGTCTTAGATCATTTATCCGAGACAACAATATCCGAGGCAACCTTTCCGAGGCAACTTTGATCTTTTAGACAAGAGGACGACCTCTAAAATAACCTATACTCAATGACCGTTTTAATGAAGGAAACTAAGTGGGAGTGTACCCTAGGAGTGCGCATGTGCGAGTGATTCAGTTTCATATTCATTTATCTTTGCACATTTAGGGTGATCTAACTGTTTTAAAAATTAGCATACATTCTTGTCATGTAAACCCTAATTATTCATACATCTAACAGTTAATAATTTGCGGAATTTTAAAGTGCGGAATTTAAACTAAGCTATTACAAGGCTTCGGGTATTTACATAGCCAAAAACAAACCCTTTGAAATTAAAAGCGATAAATGTAAAAGTCCTAATTAAAATTATTACAAACTGTGAGCAGATACAATAATTGGGTAATAATAAAGCGCGCGAGAAAATTAGATCGAATGCGAAAATAGGGTTTTGACCCTTCTAACCTAATTAAAAGAGAAAATTGTTTTTTGGTTGTTTTTAATATTTTTAAAAGAAAAGAATTAAGTTTTTCTAAATTAAATGTGCAAAATTAAATAGTTATTAAATCAATTAATGGAAATAATTACATGACATATTTTTGTTTTTTGTTATTTTAGGAAAGAAATAAAATAATTAAGTTAGTAATAAAACCTATTTATTCTAATTAATTTTAATTATTTGCAAAATAAATTAAAGTTACCTAATTTAATCAAACCTAATTAAATTAATTAATTTATTGATGAAAAATAATACCTAAATCTAATTGGTGAAAAATAATATTTTTGGTGATTTTTGATAAAAGAAAATAATTTAATTTTGTTAGTAAAAATAATTAAATGAAATAATTAAATAAAATGTAAAGAGAAAAAGAATAAGAAAATGGGCCTGAATAGCATTTTTGGGGGGTGTGAATAACTGAAATCTGGGCCCAAAAGAGAAGGTCCACGTTGACCTTTGAGATCCTGTATGGCACATTTGACTTGGCTCATGGTGCACCTTTCTGGATGGCCATCAGATTTGGCCATCCAGCCACTTGGCATACCAGATCTTAAGGGAGTATGATGGACATTAGGCTTGTACGCGCATTAGATTGCCTGCAAGAAAATATAAAAATAACGAATGCTGGAGGCAGGGATCGAACCCTTGACCTCCATCCTTTCAATGCCTTAAGCGCTGCTTGGCTACCACTGGGGCACTTTGCTTTTGCTGTACAATAATGAAACAATAATAATATGTAAAACAAAGAAATATTGGAAAATTAAAAAAACGCGCGCTGAACGTTTGAACAGGCCAATAGAGGAGTGACAACTCATCGTCTCCTTCCTCTCTATGTGGGTAAAAGTCTCAGACTTTTACCTACAAACGCTTGTCCGTAGCTATATGCTTGGTTCGTTCAAAAATC